TTGATAGTTTGGATGCAATGAAAAAGGAAGTGTAGAATAATCCCGCAGCAAAAGGTAGCAACCCTCCTGTGTCTACCGATAGAGCTACATCGCACCGTATACCGGCACGCAAAAAAAAAACATGTGTCTTAAAACATTGTCCAACGACAAAAATCCGCACACCACACAAATTTTTGACAAAAATAATAGCTCGCCCTCACCTCCTGTGCTGATGCGAGCATCCTTCGCACCGGCCTTCTCCAGAGTGGTCTCCACCGGTATCTCGTGCTGGACTGGCGTCTGGTCCATGCTGCCGAGTTTTTCGAAAACCTCCGCCTCAACAGACGCCAGCTGCTCGGAAGTCAGGTCCTCCCCTTTGATGGGGCTCTCGTCAGGTGCCGGCGGGTGGCGCCAAGCGTAGATCTCACCGGCGCGCTTTACGAGAGCCTCGCGCAGCTTCATCACCGTCACCCACGCCATACCCTCGTACCCCTTCGGCAGTTTCTGGCCCACGCTGGTACGCCGGCGGATGCTGAACCCATTCCGCTTGCGGAACCGTTGGTGCCAGGAGTTGAATTTGACCTTGAAAGCCAGCGCCTCCTCCGGTTTCGCGTTCGCCGGCATCCCGCCAAGGGCGTCAGGCTTCAGCTCGAGCAGCTTGTTCATCACCTCCCGATTACCACAACCGCGGTGCTGCTTGCGCGGCTCGTTGATGTAGTCCACAAGGGCTTGTTCGCCGTCGACTGTCGAAGCTTTCCCTCCGCTGTGAACCTGCTTGGCCTTCGAAAGCTTGGGGTTGGCGGTGACCTTCTCCCTGAGCTGCTCCTCCTGCTCCAGCCACTCGATGATACGCTTCCGAGGCACCTGGAGAACTTTCGCCGCGCCGTTGTTTCCCACCGGTTGACCGTCGCACGGGCAGATCTCCCGTGTGTAGGCCGCCGCGTTCAGTTTGAACCGGATGGGGTAGCTCCCTTTCCCTCCCACTGCTCCTGACCGCTCGATCGGGAAGTTGGGCTCCGGGTACGCGCGTTTGCCGTTGCTGTTTTTGACGGGGTCGTTGGCGGCTAGCATCTCATCGATAGCCTCGCCGGTTGCCTCCGGGTCCGCAGCGGCAGCGCCCTGATTCGCAGAGGAAGGACCGCCAGCACTAGCCTGTGAGGCCTGTGAGGCGTCGGCAGGTTCCGCGCTTGGACCCTCCGACATCGTAGCCGCGCGTTGCGTGTGGTCGAGCCCGCAGCTCCGTCCCGGGCATTTCCCGATTTTCCGCCGGTATTTCTCCTCCACGGAACTGTTGTGGTGGCAATTCCCCGAGACTCGTTTGTGTGTGCAGCTACTAGCTTGTCTGTTGGTTGTGTTGTGATCGTGTTGCAGCAATACCATACACGCGAAGTGCTGCTATCCCCTGTGGTTTTCAATGTTAGGATCGCACATATCGGGGACTTGGCGCAGGGGTGTGCGTTCGAAAGTCGCCGTACCAGCCACTTTGGATTTAAACAGCACTGCACATATCGGGGTCTTGGCACAGGGGTGTGCATTGTTTCTTAGAACCAAAATAGTTACTGCATTTCCGCACAGGTATCGCGAACTTGGCGCATATCGGGGTCTTCGCACACCTGTGCGAAAAAAGTCTGAAGTTCGCAACATTTAAACAAGCGACCGCACAAGACTATGCCAAGTCTACACCGCTGCCACTTGTCCTCACTACAGCAGCTGCTAGTGCGAAACAACGGCAGCAGTAGGTGGTGCTCATTTCCAGAGCTGACCCAGCGAACTCTTTGGGAAATAGACTGGCGTGCAGACATGTCTAGGTGTAGATATGTGGGAAGCGTCTCGGCAATCGATCGTCAAGAGAGCAAGTGCTGCTGTAGATTCCGTAACCAGACTACTTATTTCATTCAAGCGGCATTGTACACGCTTCTTTTTAGCCTCTGGTCCCTTATCTACCCAGGCTACGAACTAACGTCGTCCGCGCGGAGAGGGCTCACCCTTTCGATGCCTTGGTCGTTTCCTTGGCCTTCACGGCCCCATCGTTATTCCTCTCCCTAAACACCGCCGTCCTCATGAATCGCTCAGGGGACAACGAGCCGATTCCAAGCGTTGCACGACGAGATGACCTCGTCGTTGAGCTTGATCGCTTCGAGGAAGCCCCGCCTACCGTAGACATGCCGAAGGGTCAATGAATAGAGCTCGCTCGGCGCTGAAGGGGGTGCTTACCACTCGGTCGAAAGCAATATGGTGACGGAAATCCAAGTGTACCACGTGAAGTGACCCAAGTCCCTCTTGTCTCTTGCCGAATGAAATGCCCAACGGCCAACAAACCCAGGGGATGTGGTATCTAACGTATCCCATGCTGACAGTCCCGCCGCAGCGTCAGGGAGAGAAGAGACTAGAGACAGCAGTGAGGTATCAGCAGCAGGGAGTGGAGTGCTGGAGGGTGTGACCGAGCTTTTGCTGGCCCACATCACGAATAGACACTGCTTCACGCTCAAGGTAGAACCGGGTTCAAATTGGACTCTGCAAATGCTATGCACCCCGGCCGTGGTATTGAATTTGTTGTCCTTGTTGAAGGAACAACTGCCCTCATGTCTCGTCGATTGTTGTCGTTTCCCCTCCTCTGTCAAGTTGTCTTTGTAGTTGTCGCTCTGCACTCTGCACATGACACTTCTGTTCGATTCCCAACCAACTGGCATCCTCTTGTTGCAGCTACAGGAGAACTCCGTGAGGTGATCTGAACGAACAGCTGTGGACAGGACACTTGGGGCGTGAGGCGCCAATACGTATTGAAGTTGAAAAAAATGGCGAGCAGCGCCGCCCATGATGCCACCCTTCGGAAGCTGTTCGGAGGTGCGATGGAGTGCCTGCTGCCGGCAGCGTACGTGGACGTCAGGTGGGTAAGCGTGCCGACGACTGACAGAGGGCTGCAGGGGGGGGGGCGGACTAATGCTACTGCGTACGTTGCATATAGAATTCTATGTAGCGTCGCTCCGTTCACAAGCTGTGTGGGCTTGGTCCTGGGTGATGGGAATGAGGCGGTATGAGACAGCAGCAGGACTATAGCTTCGAGAGAACGATGTTCGCTAGGTGATGAATGTGGCATGTCCTACGTGCATGAAGGTCAGTGGTGGATATACAGCCATCGTGATAACCCGCGGCTTTGGCCTTTCAAGTCCTCTAGTGTACACGATGCCGCTCGTATGCACTGCTTTACCTAGCGAACATATATCTGCCTCCTGCCCTCCATTCACCCTTCTCTTCTCCTCGACCCCGCTCTCCCACCGCCCTCCCCTCTCCACCCCAGTGACCTTCGACAAGTACCCGACCACCAGGAGGTCTTTGCCAGCAAGGAGGACGGAATCAGCATTGTTATCGAAGTTCTTTCCTTTGAGGTCGACATCAACATGGACGAACAAGCCAGGAAAGACGGTGCAAGTGCGCGACATTTTTTCGACGATCTTGCGGCGGCTAACGGGGCGACGAGCTCTGCCTGCGATTTTTGCGGCGATCTGAGCGACAGGCAAGACTAGAGCCGGCGGTGAATGGCGGGGTTGTGTACATTTTGCGCATGTTTTGCAAGTACTTGCTTCTGCGCTACTCGCGACAAACCTTAGCGCCTCTGCATGTGTAGGGACATCGCATAGTGGCAAAGAATGACGCAGGTGGTGTAGTCTAGGCTGTCCACAAGTTTATGGAGGGGCCCCCCCGGCGCTGAGTTCATGGTATACCAAAGGAAGCGCTAGCACGTCAACATCAACAAAAAAAAATGGGCGGTTTCATTTGTCCCCTCTCGCTCGCTGATCGTAGTCAAACCCACACAAATCCCAGTTCTGTTCCATGTGCATCCACCCGAAGGCATCCAACGCATTGTATTGAAGTCAACTTCCTCGGCCTGGATTTTTCTGCGGACGACGGTGTAAACGAAAGAACTGGGCGAATCAAATACGTATATTATGTCACTCTAGTCTCATTTTCTGTCAACAGAATCATGCCGAAGCTCGCATCGTACACCAAGTCAGCCCTGGCAGGCCGCCAGACGGTGGCCAAGTTTCGTCAAGACGCTCCTCCCGATGCTGTTCGGCTGTACCTCGTCAACGTCCGGTGAGCGAAGCAGCCGTGTGTGTTTGTGTGCTTGTATGTGTGTCGTGTTATGGTTGTTGACCTTGTTCCGTCCACTACTGCTTCGAAGTATAACAGTTACGACACGTTGGCGTTTAGTGCAATGAACAGCTACACAGTGACAGTCAAACACGTTGGCGTTTAGTGCAAGAACAGCGTCAAGGCACAGCAGCTTGCTTGTGTTTCGCCATCCTTGGTCACAACGTGCACGGACTCGGGACCGGTATTCTGTGGTGAAGGTATAGATCCCCAGTTTTCGGCGTTGGTTTATCTATTGGCGAAGTTTTGCTCGAGAACAGCGAGGGTAGCCATGAGCGGAAGTTAACAAATGGATGGGCAAAGGTTGTAGAAGTTTGCAGCGAAACATTCTTGCATGCGAATAGTTTAATATGCCATAAATTTCAACAAATTCAAATGTGTACCCCTAGAACTTTACCGGTAGACTCCTACCGCCCATCACGTACGAGATCCACCCGACCCGCTCGAAAGCCCGTGTGATTTGTTCTGCTTTTATGCACGTTAACACGTTGGTGTTCTCCATCATCAAGGATTGACCGGGGCTCCCTTGATTCCACCAACTATTTCAAACGAGCTTCAGAGTCTCGATTTGCCCGTGCCCTTCCTCCTGACAACAGTTCAGCTTTACAGCACTGCGCGTCGATTCTTCTCTCGGTTTGTCCGCAGGCTACCGAATGTCGGCACCGATCTCCTCATCACGGTGAACGTTCCTTGTCCCGACCAAGACACCGCCGAGAGGACCATGGCAAGCGCGGAATGCTTTTGCTCGGGAGCGTCGAGCCACACAACTAGCGCCAACGAGGAGATGTCAGCAGTAGCGCCCTTGGTTGACGGGAACAAAACATCAGAAACAGCCTCGGGTGCACATGCTGCTGCCGACGGCACAGCGGCGGGAACAGATAAACCGTTCAACAGCGCTGCGGATGTCTCCCCGGAGGCAACTGTGGATGGGGTTGGTGATGTGGACAAGCCAGAGGGTTCCGGAGAGATCGAGGCTGGAGTTGGGGAGGGGAAGGGGGAGCAACATTCATCTTCTGAAGGAGGGGACGATGTTGACTCAGGTGTAGCGGCCCTTCGGATCCTCTTGCAGTCTTTTGCCGTATTGGATTGGTCGCTGTTTGGTTAGGTGTCGACAGGGGACTATGTATTGCTACACTCAGAGAAGAAAACAAACACCTTTCGTAGAATGCTGCTGTTTTCAATTGGTTCCCTGCTCAAGCAGACAGGCAAAACCGTAGCAAGAGAGCTATGCATACGACGCGAGCACCAAGGCTGTCTATTCACGCAGTTGCACACAAGCATTCCGCAGGCCTTTGTGACGAGCTGGACAAGCCAAGACAAGAACGAAAGTACAACAAAACAGATGGCTGACATTAGACGGCAATCAACGTCCACCAATCCCAACGAACGACAAGCGCTACACCTGCTACAGCAAGAGGATCGATCGGTGTCATCGGCGGTCTCTATGCACACTCGCACACAACGCACATCAGACATGTTTCTTGGTTTGTCATGGTGCCCGACCGCTGCCGTCATAGACTGTGCTTACATCCGTACGCCACTACAGCTGCCAGGTACCAACGCGGCCTTAAAACGAGACAAAACAAGGCCATGGGAACATGTTTTCTTGGAAAATTGTGGACGTCAGAAACCTCTCGGCCCTCATTTCCAACTACATTCTGTTCGGCTACTCGGGTATCTCCGCATCATTTTCCGGAACAGAACAAATCAGACAAAATCGCGGGAAAATCATACACTTGCAACTTCTTAGAAAATTCCGAACATCTTCTTCTTGGGCTCGTCGGCCTTGATCTCGTACTGGCCGTACTGCATCTCGTACACGGTGTCGTACTGGTTGAGCAACACCTTCAAGCCCGGTCCGCAAGGGAACGTCTGGCAGGTCAGCGTGAACCCCTGCAAATAGCACAGAGAGCGGGAGAATCGGCGGGGGGGGGGGGGGGGG